GTTTTTGAAGGCCCATAATAGTTTTTAAATGCTTTAAATAGCACAGCATTTTTACCTAAGAAAAACCAATCTTCAATTGTATTCATTGAAGCTGGGAGATTTAGAATAAACATAATAACTAACATTTTTGTTCTCAATGAGTGCATGGTAAGCCCTGCTTCATAAAGAGCTTGCTATCTGAATGCGGAAGCATAATGTTTTGAATTACTGAATTCCCTGAAAATTACGTAGTTAAGACATTTTCATTTCATTGACAGGCTTTGTCATTATGATTGAACTTTCAATACTCTTGTCCTCTCCCCCATGAACCCCTTACCAGCATGTGTTGTTTTCCCTGCAAGGGGTGTTTCATCTTTACCTTGGGGTGATCCATGCAGAATGTTGACGGTCACTGAGCGATGCACCTCATGTTGGCTGGTAATCACTATTGCATACAACACGCCACGCCGAGCCACATCATCCAAGAGTTCCACAATTGGTTGAGTTCCATGAAAGTGCAGATCTACCACCAGTCCAACAGACTTCAGTCTTCTTTGAACCAGCTCTGCATAGCCTCTGCATAGAAGACAAAGAACGTACTTGTAAATGAATTTGGGCAAATTCTGGACTTCCAAAAATTACATAACCACATCAATAAAAATTCTGAATGACAGAGGTGTCAAAAGCCTTTGCATTAAAAGGAATTTGCCGAGGTCAGCTGTGATTCCTAACAGGGTGGGGCTTAAACCAAAAATCTCCTTACCAAGTAGGGAAATCTATCCATATAAAACAAAAGATCCCTTCAGAGCACCGGTATACTTTTGCCAAAAAAGACATCTTTACAATTTGCATTAAACAGACTCAACAGAAATTATTTTCTTGCAGAGAAATTTCAGCAAAGCTTTCCAAGAGCAAACAAGAAGGGCAAAAAAGTTTCTCTTTTTTAAGAATATTGGAAGGATTAATTTTTAAGAAACAAAGTTTCTCAGAGACTTAAAAATAAGGCCTCTGGACCTAATATGATCCAGGAACTTTTGAGAAAAAAAACATGCTTGTTTTCTCATCCATGCTATAATATTCAGTTATTTCCTTCAAAGTGTATAATTCAAGATGTTTGAGAGACGACTGACAACTGTGGATTTTATTGTTTCCACCGCTGCTAATAAGCTCACAAGTTGATCTCGCACACCTGCGAAAGTTGAAGGTCATCATAACACCAACAACAGCAAAATGGTGTGCTCAATACAGCTCCCACATATCTCACCTTTCTTGAGAACAAAATGAAAATCAAAAACTAATCTTTTCTGAAAAAGCCCAGTTCTTCACTAAAAAAAATGTCAACAACTAACTGAAAATGAAATGGCACTTGCCAGCAAATACCTTTGTTGTTTGTTCATGACTACTATAACACAGTCAGTTGGAGCCTCAATAGTTTTGCTGCTACTGTAAATATCATCAGGACCATCATAATCCATTCTTGGCCTCTTTGCTGGACCTGGATAATCTCCAGGTCGAGGGTAATCTCGGCTCTCACGGCCATCCCTTCCATAGGAGTCATACCGATCAAACCGATCATCCCTTCTGTCTGGGTATGGGCCCCTTGGAGAATCATATGGATCCCTCCTATCTCTGTCGTATGGATCACCTCTGTGATCAAACCCATGCCGTGGGTATGGCTCCCTGGGAGTAGGTTCATTCCTGTATCTGTCTCGCATGTAGAAATCATCATTTCTACCACCACCATAAGGACGGTCTTCCATTCTCCGAGGTGGAGATGGAGACCTCCCCCGCCGATCAAAAGGAGGTGGCTCAAACCGTGATGGGAAGCGATCATAATCTTCAAATCTTGGTCTATCACGTGGGGGAGATTTCCTAAATGGTCTGTTTCCTTCCCGCTCAAATTCTCGTTCTCGCCTGTTGAAGGCAAAGGGTGGTCGCGAGTCTCTGTCACGTGGTCTCTCGTCCATCTTTTCTTTTCTTCTGTCACCAGCTAAGTTGACATCTACAATTTAAAAAATGCATAAACATCACCAAGAATCTCTTGGAAATACACCAAGGTAACATAGGAAACTAAGATCAACATACCCTTTTCACCAGACCTAGGCTGTTTGAGACGTTTTTGACAAAGTTTTACTTTTCATTATGCAAAATCCCACTAAGATTTGGCCATTGAAATAACTGTGCGACAAAAAAAAAAAAAATTCAACATTATATTGAATTTTGGTCTAAGGCTCCTCTGCAACATCTGACCCCATTCCAAACTGCTATACACTCTGTCCTTGCTGCATCTTCTTCTCACTGACTCACCTACTCGTTTGCCACAATAAACTTGGCCATTTTCTTTTGCAACTGCAGCATCAGCTGCCTTTTCATCTTCAAATTGTACAAAACCATAGTTATTATGAACTGAGCATCCCACTACTTTGCCATACTGAACAAAAATATCTTCAAGCTCCTTGCGGCTCATCTGAAGGTTACCGATGAAAACACGACACCTAATAGAGTGCGGGTCACTTCTGTTGGTCTCCTTAGGTGGAGTATTTTCACGTCTCCCTGGCTTGCCCCATCGCTCAGGGGATCCCTTACGATTATCACGGAACCTTGTGTCTTTCATATCATTAGGAGCCACTTTTAGATCAGAGTTCATGCTGTTTTTACTGGAAATTAAAAAAACACTTGTTACCAACAAGACAACAGAAAAAAGAAATAAAAAAACTCAGAATGTTGAACTTTGCCGATGCAAAATCATACTTTTGGACTTCCAAGGTTAGATGAAAAAGCCTTCAGGCACGAAAACCATAATCATCATCTTTGTTTTGTCAAGGAATAGCAGTTTTTGTCTGATGATACCAGATTTTTTTTTTAATTTCCAGCAATGAACAAGCCATGATAATACTCTCGAATGCACTTCGAAAAAAAACTTGCTGTGGAGAAAATCACCCAACAGAAAGTCCAAAAATGTAGACTACCAAAATTCCTTTAATAATAGCCAAGGATTAGTCAGCCAAGGAAAAATCACAGACAACTTTAACGGGATCAAAAAAACACCTGACCTGTGTTCGAAGCCAATCTATTCGCAGATGCCAGATCAATGCAGTGTTGACGTTTCCGAAAGTCTTCCCCCTTTCAGAAACAGCCTAAATGTTGAACAAGCACGAAAAGCTTTTCTGTAACCATATCAAACAACTAAATTACGTTTCACTGCAGTGCGTCCATTAGATAAGTCGTTCGATTAACGTGCTTGAACAACTTCCAGTCACCACGCGCAATTCGAAACTATGACAGTATTTACCTTTTTTCAGAGCAACGTCAAAATATTTGGGTTCTTCCCTTCGTCTGATCGTTCAGGAAGAAAAGGAAAACTACGTAATGGTCAAACCATCTATAATAAAAATGAATTCACAGATTAATATAGAAGGAATCTACGACGACCGACACAGATCCGCGACAAATCCGTTCAACCGCGAGGTGAAGCGTGATTATTATTATGGGATATTATTTTAGCAAACTGCTAACTCGTACCCAGATGTTATTCTTGGTGATTCTCCGCGCCGTGTACGCGCCGTGAGGATTCAACATTCATTGGGAGGTTGGGTACGAATTTCGCTATCGCATTATCCAATGATCTAGTTTTTAATAATATGCGGTATAGCTATATAGATATACATATCTATAACCGCAGTTCAAAATATACGAACTTCATATATTCATCGTATCTCTACTGCGAGGATCGTGCATCATACGTGAATATAATATTATGTTTATTTACATTCAACATACGTTTTCAAAAGCATATACACATTCAATATACGTTTTCAAAAGCGCTTTACAATCTTAAAAATCTAAAAACAAATAAATACAAACTATGTGATGGGCTAAAAGTTATAAAAAGTTAATAAAAGTTGTAAAATATAAATTCTAATTTAAATATGCGATCCTAAAAAGATGAGTCTTGAGCTATTTCTTGAGAGTATTAAGACTCTGCTCCTCTCTTATCTCTGTTGGCAAGGAGTTCCAGAGACGAGTGGCAGCAGCAGTAAATGCAAGGTCACCAAGAGTTGGCAAGGTTTTTTTAGCTAATGGTGTTAGTAGCATAATGTTATCAGAAGGTAGTCCATGCTGGGAGTTCTGTTGAAGGGAGACTAACTTCTTAATATATTCTGGTGCTGTTCCATGAATAGCCTTACAGGTTATAAGGATTATCTTAAAGTCAGTTCTATGTTTAGCATTTAACCAATGAAGTTCTGTTAACAATGGGGTAATGTGACAATATCTGGGTGCTCTATGTACCAGTCTTGTGGCAGCATTTTGAACGCATTGCATTTTAGATACAAGACAATTAGGTAATCCATACGGTAGAGAATTACAATAGTCGATGCGGCTCATAACGAACGCACGTATCAAATTCTCCGTGATTTCTTGAGTTAAGAATTTTCTTATCCTGCTTATATTATGGAGGTAAAGGAAACCTGCTGTACAAGTTTGGCGCTCGAGTGCAAAGAAGAATAAACTCAGACTTTTCGTCGTTGATGTTGAGCTTATCTTTGATCATCCACTCCCGTACATCTCGTATACAAGCCTCCATTGCAGCAATCTTCAGTGTCGTAATCTCCCGTCCAAAAACGATCTCCCAGTCGAAAAAGGGGTCAAAAGGCAATATCCCAATTATTTGAAGATTAATATCACAACATGCGACGAGAGCGTTAACAAAGTCAGTCTGAGGATCAACTACGCCTGCCTAATAAATTGCTACAAGCGTCCCAAAAATATAGGGGTACAAGGCGGAAAACTAAAAATTTCCATACTTGTTGTCTTAAGCTTTATTTTATAATTGTAAATATTATAGTTCAATATCTTTTTTGAAAGCCAACAATCAGCCTTCAAACTAAGATAACTAGAAAACAATACAAGCCATTAAAGTATACACCTATAACACTAAAATGTTCAGTTTTGATTCTTAAACTCTTTCAAAGTTTACAGAGCTGAATAAAGCAATCAAAGTCAGTTGCAGGATGTAGAAGATGTCTGTGTTACTGTTTAACAGTTTCCATAGTTTAAAAGAATCACTATTGGTGAGCCATTGCTTCGTCCGGCTTTTTAAACAGTGCCTGGTATTAAAAACACCGTTTGATTTCAGGGAAGTTGCCTTTGAAGAATTCTGACTTCCCTTATATTCATTTTTTCTTTTAAATTTTTTTCCTACAAATTCGAGTTCACATAAATTACTTTGTAAAACTTATGATTGTACCATACATATTACCATTTCTGTCAGATGAAGATGTTTTTCTATTTTTTACTTATGTGCCTCGCTTCGCTCGAACTTACTTAGTGAAAAAACAAGAAAATTCAGTTGACTCTCGTGAACCAGAGAACAAGTCAGAGCAGGGACTTGTAGCAGGCGTCAACACGCTATCGAACTATACGACTTCACTGACCAGTATCGTAATGTTTACAGTGACTCCATTCCAAGCGCAGACAGTTTTTACCGTTCGAGTGGGTATGGGGATGAGCTGGTGTTGGGAGCGGCCTGGTTCTATAGTTTGTGAGACTATAGTGTTTCTGTGCATTACCTATGTTAGCTAATTAGCAGAATTTCACTAAGTGTAAGTCTTCATTCGAAATTGTGGAGTGAGATGATCGGGTAGTCTGGTTTAGGCATCCATATCAAACCAAGAGATTACAAACAGTTTATATTCTATTGATCAAACCTAGTAAACGTTCGTTGAGCAACTTCTTTCAATCTCTTCACACTTCGTAAAGTCTTACACTGAGGGTAATTGCATTTTTAAAGATCTCAACTTGACAAATTTTTTTACACCTTTTACCTTCGAGCATGCCATCTTGCAAAATGGAAGTTTTCTTGGAAATTAATCTCAAGCCTTGGCTTGGCATTTGACCAATTGTCAATAAGGTTGGTGATGGCAATGCTGATCATGGTTACAGGGGCAGACCAGAGGACATGACCTTGAGAAGACCAGCCTGGAAGATCACTCCTCAGAAACCATGATCAGATCTGGCTGCTGAGACAGCTGCAGCCCTGGCTGCGGCTTCAATCGCTTTCCGATCCACGGACATCAGCTATTCAATGAGACTTCTTCTGCACGCTGCTGAACTTTATGAATTTTCAGACAAAAACCGTGGGCTGTACAGTGATTTCATTCTTAAAGCGGCCAACTTTTACCGCTCGCAAAGTGGATATAAAGACGAACTCGTCTGGGGTGCGGCTTGGCTATATAAGTAAGGAAACTTGGTCATTTGTGAGATTCTTTTTTTTTTCTCTTATCAATCATGATAGGAGTTGATCCGTAAGTGAGAAATACATGATTCACATTAATTTTTCCGACAGCTGAGCAAATTATCCAGTCGATAATTATCCAGTCGATATCCAGTCGAAGCACAGGTAAACCACATACATGTATCATAAAATCCTTTTTTGATTAAGAAGAGCTCTTGTTGACCTAAATCGAATTGATTGATTTGAGACATTCGATGGGCATAGAAATGAACCGAAACTTTGATAATTTTTTGATTGCCAACCAGAAGCAAAAACTTGAGCTTAGTTCACTCTTTCGGTTCCACTAATAGGGACCTTAAGAAACCACGACGGCGACGGCAACAAGGACGTGGAAAAACAAGAGATCTGATCGGCAGAACAATAGCTCAGCACGTGCGTTTTGAAACTTTGTACATTTCGTAGCCGTCCTATGCAAAACAACAACGTGAAATCGCCAAAATTTGCGTCGCCTGCGATCCGAAACCGCGACGGCAAATTATTTTAATTTCCATTTGGAACTCAACGGCTACTTTATACGTCATGCTGAAGTTGAGCTGTGGCGCTGTATGAGACAGTAAGCTCCTGCAGCCATTTTTAAAATTCTAACTAAGAGTAGAAATTCATTTTTTAATCGAAGTCTTCCTTGGCGTCGTCGTCGTGGTTTGTTAAGGTCCCTATTGACAGTCCAACCGGACCTGCCAATAACCTCTGTCAGTGCGAACGAGCAAACCTCTCCCTTCCGTCTCACTTACTCAGTCATAGAAACAAATGCAGCCTTGAGAGTCGATCTGTTCGCTGCTGATGTTATCATGCCATGGCGTATGTTATATTGAGTGGGGATTAGCTCAGCACAGTTCTTCTTTCCTCCTCAGGACTACACAAAATAAAAAGTATCTCTCTAATGCCGAACAGTACTACAAAGATAATTCGATTAATGAAAAATCATGACAAAAAAAGTCGGCGTTCAAGTCCTCTTGGATACAATCACAAATAAAGCCTCGTACAAACAAGCTGTGGATACTTCCAGTTTATAGCAAGCTGGCTTCCCGGAAACGGCGTCCCCAAAAGGCTTGGCCTGGCGAGATCGATAGGGTCCAAACCGATACTCGGCCAACACTGCCTTCTTGGCCTTAGTCGCCGCTGACCAAGTCATAAAAACGACTGCGTTCCGCGACTTTGCAAAGCAGCAAATTCACTACATATTAGGTGATGGCGGGCGCAGTTTTATGGTGGGGTTCGGTACCAATCCACCAGAAAGGCCTCATCATCGCGGCAGTTCTTGCCCATTGTCCCCAGTCCCTTGCGGCTGGAATGACTTCAGTGAGCCAGACCCCAACCCGCACATTTTGTGCGGCGCTTTAGTTGGAGGCCCGGATAAGAATGACGAGTACAAAGATGACAGAACAGATTTCATCAAGAATGAGATGGCTACGGATTACAATGCTGGATTTTAATCGGCTGTGGCTGGACCGAAACATTTGTCAATCACAGGGGAGCCATTGGGGAAGAGGATTGATCGACACATTTTTGAAAGATTAACAAAGCAACCAATAATTCAGTGTAGCTTAGATTTGGTGGGAATAAAGGTGATTGTTTTATGTCTGCCATTTGAGATTATTTCTTGCTGGTTTCTTTAGTGCAACACACCATGTGGACCTGATTCGTTCTCTCGATTTAAAACTAAACAATTCGGGTTCCATATTTACTCGGTATGTATTCAACACAACAATTATTCAAATGAAAATTCTTGTAATACGAATGTGGGCACCAATTGCGACTGAATTGCTGCTGTTTTTCCGTTGAACCCCAGGTCAATAAAGGTCACCTCAATCAGAGAGCTTGATAAATGTTAAATTCGAAATTAAGTCTCTTCCACTTCTTCCCCACAAGTGCGCTCCTTCTTTGTTGCTGGAAAAAGGGAACAGAAAAGGATTTTGTTTATTCTTTGATACCCAAGGTGCCTAAGTTAGAACTACTATGCTGCTTAACCACTAGCAGCAGAGCCAGCCTTTCGGGAGTTTTTTATGATTTTTAAGAGCTAGCATTGAATAAGTAGAAACATTAAAAGCCTCCCACGGATGCGATGCCACTCCATTGTAAGCCAGTTTACCCTTCAAAAATTTCGCCATAATTTAGTTACGGTTTGTCGCTACCCATGACTTGAGTGGAGCAAGACACTGAGGAAAAGAATATTCCCTACGCACGCAACACAATGAACTGACCAACACCTCAACCACTGCTTCTCCCTTCTGTAACAAAGCTGATATTCATCAACTCAGGCGAGACGATAATGCAAATAAATGAATAGTTCTCAATGACTACTTCAAGATAGTCAAATTTTAAACAAATCTCAAGAGGTAGTGGTCTAGTGTGAATCTCGAGTCTAAATCTTGAGTGTAAATCTCGAGTGTAAATCTCGAGTGTAAATCTCGAGTGTAAATCTCGAGTGTAAATCTCGAGTGTAAATGTCGAGTGTAAATGTCGAGTGTAAATGTCGAGTGTAATCTCGTGCGTAAATCTCAAGTGTAAAATCTCGAGTGTAAATCTCGAGTGTAATTCTCGAGTGTAAATCTCGAGTGTAAATGTCGAGCGTAAATCTCGCGCGTAAATATCGAGTGTAAATCTCGAGTGTAATTCTTGATTGTAAATGTTAAGTCTAAATCTTGAGAGTAATTTTTAAGCGTAAATCTTAATATAGATATTGAGTTTAAATCTTGAGTGTAAATCGAAGTTACAGATTCAAAGACACTTCAGTTAGGCATAAAAGAAGAGGTCCCGCACGAGTTCAAACTACAAACAATCGACAATATTGTGTCCCAATTATCCAATCAAAAGTTGTTTTAAAGAAATGTAACTTAGATTTCCTGCCATGTCGACCATAAATAAATTCAGAAATTACACGCCTAGTGTCAAAAGTCTAAGCAATGACCTACGATACAACGAGAACAATAAGCGGCTGTCAGCACTTTCATTGAGCTATCTTAAACCTCATTTACAAAACACTCACTTACTCTTAACACTTTTGTTGGACCATTGCCTATTGCATAAGTAATTTTAAAGCGTTGACAGGAAGACGATCTTCCCCTAACAATTAAAAGCTGCCTCCTGCTTTCTGAAACAGCTTCCTTCAAAAATTAAACCGAAAGAAAAAATAAAACCGTGATCTTCAGAGGGAAAACATTTTTTTGTCTTACCGCCGATCTAGTTAGCCTCGAACAGGCCAAGTTCTTGGGATTTCTAGAACAAATAATGGCCACGTCATTTATTTCGTAATATTACTCGCTCATAATTATCTATAAAGCCTTTCGCACGCTACTGTCTTGTCTTCTTTTTTGTTTTTGTTGATTTGTTTATCCACTTTTAAGTAAATGATGCAGAAATAAGATATCCATTCAAGTGACATTTGGAGTTTGAGAGATCTTTTGAAAAGACTTCTCCCCATAAGAGACAGACGAATAGATGGCATCCACTTTAAAGTATTTATCTAATAATCACAATGCTTTTTTTCCTAAACGGCAATGATAGTAAAGACGAATTTCGATGACTAATGTATTTAAGACCCACTGTCGGAAAGAAAAGGAACTTTTCTTCTTTTCGTGTTCAAGCCGTTAAAACTATTCCATCCAAGTCAAGTTTATTCTAGTTAATATCAACTGCATAAAAGAGTTGTGTTATTGTAGAATTACCGAGATGAACTCGAGGTCCATGAAAACACAAAAAACGAGGTAAATAAAGGATTTATTATACAGCAGAAATATTTCGGTTTATCAAGAATCAAGATCGATAACCGGGAAAGAAAGCCAACTGTGTTTTTGTACCAGCAGGAGAAAAGCCCACCAGAGTCGTATATATTTTCTTTGTTTTGACCTTCTTCTGCCGCTTTTTGCGACTCCATCGCTGACTTTGTCCAAAAGTTAAGAACTTTGGAAGTCCACTCCAAGCATTTCTTTTAACGCAGGATCAAAGCGGGAAAACTCGAGCGGGCATGACGGCCCATCTTGCCCGCTCGGGTAGCCAATCAGAACAGAGGATTCGCTACATATTGCCCACGAGCATCGCCAGCGTTACAATAAGAGTTAATATTCTGGCCGAATAAATGACTTAGTTTAAGTGCAATATATTCGGTGCTCTGGGTATCGCCCGCGATGAACTAGCGTTCCGATCTGGCGTCTAGGTTACTAGACGTAGGGCCACCGCGACTCCCACTAGGGAATTCTTGACAAGGCCAATATTTACCAAATCAGCCGGGAAGAACACATTTTTCTCCTCTCTGCAAAAACTGACAAGAAACGTTTCTAGTCGAAACATCACTGAGCTGTCATTACATTCACGCTCGAGCTACACTTACGATTAGATTGTCTTAAGAAGGAAATCCGCTCTGTTTATACGAGCAGTATTAAAATAGGAAAATGAGCCATTGCATTAGGCGTATTATCGACTATCTCAACATCGGCCATTTCGCAGAACTATCAGTTCATTTGTTAGTGTCGTACCACTCGCATATCCCCTTAATCAAGTTGCCATTTATCACTTTTGCCAATCGCATGGAGTCTCAGTTATTTGTGCGGCCATACATATTGGTTATTCACCCTCACGTTTAAAACAATTAGGTTGTTTCTTTTTCTGGATTCAATTATCTATTTTTCTCTCAATAGAGGACAAAGGTGTTGACATCATACCAGCTTTGCAAGCGCAAGACAAAAGGAACGTTTTTGACATTGCGTCCTAGGAAGGTTTTGCCTGAGTTTTGTTTTTTGTCATGTCAAGGTGATAAAGTGGAACAACGTCCTTTCCCACCTCTGCCAGAGAAAGAGTCCGCGATATTCAGAAGGAAGTCGTCGCTTTAATTTTTCGTTGAATCGAAAATGAAACCGTGAGTATAGTAACACTTAAGATAAATAATCGTTTTGAAAAATTTCATCGTAACTATTTAGTTAGCACCCTGAAGGCTAAAGTTTGTGAAATTTCTAGAATTCGGCTGGGTCTCTTTGATCTAATGGAATCACTACGCCATGCAGGTCTAGTAGGGATCAGAACAAACGAACAAACTAACAAACGATGATGAGGAATCTTATTATTACGTCAAATTCGAAGTTTCAGAGATCTCAAGAACACCGACCAAGTCTCTTTCATTTTATGGGATCATTTCGCCAGAGGACCAGATGGTATTTGTTTAAAAAAAAAATAAAGTTCTATTGTGTTTATCAGATTGCTTTTCTTTATTAGAGTGATGAAAACAAAAGAATCGAACCATGATTACTAATATGTTGAAGACCCACCGTCAGAAAGAAAATCCACCCCTCCCAAGTTTTTGTCTTTCTGCTGTAAAAGCTATTATACTATGGTTTTATACTAAATCATATCAGCTGTACATGACAGATGTAATGTTGCATCGCAAACAATCAATGGTCCACTATGAGAGCTGATATTCTTGGGGAACCCAGTAAGTTCGGTAAATGTTAGTTTAAATGAAACGTTTTCACGGTCAGTTACCAACAAAAATTTTCGCTGCAACTATGAATAATTTCATGTTTCCAGGTGAGACGGTATCTATGGGCGAAAACACATTGTTTTTATTTCAGGAGAAGAACCGTTCATTGAAAATGCTATTTCTGTCCATGTTATATCAAAGGCGCCTGTATACTAGCTCTAACTATTTTCCGGATTGGCTTTTTCTCGGAACTTTGGTTGTTTTCGAAAACTTAATCTGAATCTCAGAGTTTCAAAAGCCTTTAGATTCTAGATTTATCAACAACATTATTTATAACGAGACTCTTGATATATTTTGAAAACCCATTCTTTCTACGCACTTACAACCCCTTCAGACAACACTCTTGCACTTGTAGAAATGATCGATGGACTCCTCTGCTTATCATATGGCAAACGAAAAGTAGGGAACCATCCTTTTCATTGTCTTTTTTACAACTACAAAGCGAAACATTTTCTGGCCTGACACTTCTCCTGACAAAAATACACATATTGGAGAGATATTTTCCATTAAGAGTTTGACAACTTGCTGTGTTTGTCAAGACATCATGAAAAACATCGTTCTTGGCAAGTTCAGCTGCTTTGACGTAATGTTGTTTAAATTTCCTGACGCGTTTCCTATCGGGTTCACTCAAAGTTGTTGCAGGATCATGATGATTGATTTTTTCAGAAATTGTTAATTTTTTCTCTCTCTCGATTTTTAGTTATTGGATATTTGAAACATCTTATTCTTAACAGCTTTATAAGAATTTATGTAAGCATTAAAGGTTAATATTTTTGAAGGGTAGTTTCCTTACTGTGATAAATACATTTCATTTTAATGACTTTTTTTATTATTTACATAAGGGAGCATTTTAAGAGAAACTCGTTATTAGAACTAAAAGTAACTCCAAAAAATTATTTGTTTATTTACTGTACAGCTGGAGTTGGACTAAAGGCTATGCTCGATGTGATTTAACTTAAAGGAACCCCCAAAAATCTAGAAATATTTTCTGGCCTGACTCTTCTCCTGACAAAAATACACATATTGGAGAGATATTTTCCGTTAAGAGTTTGACAACTTGCTGTGTTTGTCAAGACATCATGAAAAACATCGTTCTTGGCAAGTTCAGCTGCTTTGACGTAATGTTGTTTAAATTTCCTGACGCGTTTCCTATCGGGTTCACTCAAAGTTGTTGCAGGATCATGATGATTGATTTTTTCAGAAATTGTTAATTTTTTCTCTCTCTCGATTTTTAGTTATTGGATATTTGAAACATCTTATTCTTAACAGCTTTAGAAGAATTTATGTAAGCATTAAAGGTTAATATTTTTGAAAAGTAGTTTCCTTACTATGATAAATAAGTTTCATTTTAACGACTTTTCTTATTATTTACATAAGGTAGCATTTTAAGAGAAACTCGTTATTAGAACTAAAAGTAACTCCAAAAAAATTATTTCTTTATTTGCTGTACAGCTGGAGTTGGACTAAAGGCTATGCTCGATTTGATTTAACTTAAAGGAACTCCCAAAATCTAGAAGGTACCGTGTTAGAAAGAGCTCACAAAAAAAATCTGGAAAATCGATTTCAAGTCGTTATTTATTGATTTATTTTCAGATATCCAATATGAATTTCTCCGGAAGGTCTTCTGAAGACAATCATGCTGATCGCTTATCAAAATCTTTCAGTTCTCGTGGGACTTTTCAAGTCGTTCTAGAATCCTTGATCTACAGTTTGATTTGTTCTACTTCTTTTGTGGGAAATCTTCTTGTTCTGTATGTTGTGTACAAATCTGTTCGACTAAGGAACGTGCCAGGGATGTTAATTGCTTCACTGGCTCTATCAGATGTCGCTATCATTTCCTTCACGACTTCGCCATCGTTACTCTCACTTATCCATGGCAGATGGACTTCAAGCTTCGCAATATGTCAATTTCAAGGTTATGTTGTCATAACAACAACAGCTGCTTCTCTACAAACCATGGCATTAATGTCTCTTGATCGATACTACCGTGTTGTTCATCCAATGAAGCACCGAACTCTCTTCTCCATGCCACGCGTACGGCTCATGGCCGCGGCTGCCTGGTTCCTAGCCATGATGTATCCGGTCCCTTATCTCGCTAGCGGTAGAAAATACATTTTCCATCCCGGAAAATTTTTCTGTTTCCACGAAGCAAAGACTTCGTTTGTGTCTGAATTTGTTTATATCTGTCTCTTTATCTCCATTTCTGTACTTTTATTTTGCTATTTCAAAATTTTCCGACAACTGAAGGCGAATACAAACCGCATACAAATTTGGCGTGCACAAGACAATAGGATATCTTCTGATGATGCCAAATTGACTAAGACATTATTCGCAACTGTTCTTGCATATGTATTTTGTTGGACACCGGTTTTGATAATCGATTTTGTGGAAATGGGAGTTGGGAAATGGTCCCTTCCGCGTGGGGTTTATGTCATGTACACTGATATGGGACTTACAAGTTCCTCTGTTAACCCAATCATTTATGGAGCGTTAAATCGAACGTTTCGACAGGAATACAAAAAGATTCTTTTGCCTAAGGAAGTCATTAGGCCACGACATACACCGCATTGATATTTCAAAGGGAAGGAAGACAAAGAGATGTACGGTCAGCAGATAAAACGGTCAATTAATATCTTATGAGTATCTATCTGAATGAGTAACTCATTATGTATTGTGATACCCATAATGAAAAATGACTTGATATATTTCCCTTCGATCTACTGCTTAGACGATAATAAAGCTCCGAATAACATGGCTTAGCATGACAACCAGAAATTCTTTAGATACAAATTTCAACTGAAACTACACTCAGACTGATAATCCAACTTAGAGCTCAGGCGGCATCCAAATGCTAACAGTCAAGTAAGAGAGAAACTCGCACAAACAAAGTTAGCCTTTTTTTGCTTCAACTTTTTCTTCATCTTATTTTTGAGCCAGACATTTCTAAGAATTAAAAGAACCCAAAGAAATGCAAATATCGTTTCAAAACCAATGGCTGCAAATGCTATTTACAATTATGATAGCCTTCGTATCTGTTTAAATTACTTTCAAGCAATTTTTCGTCAGGGAACAAATTAAAAGTCCTGCGTGTTAATTGAAAATTTCAATAGGACTTAAACCGAGATAGCCTGAGCTAACATTTTAAGTAAATTGCAAAAACAGGTAGTAAATTGTAACACGCAAATGAATCAAGCTGGAAATTATAAGTTGATACAGCTAGAGAAATAAAAATGCCGAGGAAACAGTGATATCTCGTAGACAGAATTATAATAGAGAGCCATTCATTACGCTGGCCTTTTCCGGTTTATATAACAAATAACCTACCGTGAGGTATGGATTTTTCAGGTTATAAGTTTTTGTCCTCGAGACGCAAAATTAATTTTTTGCTCAGAGGGAGAAAAAACCGTAAACTGAATAACACACAGCAGACATTTATTATTACCTTTAGTCATGATGTGAAACCACGTGTCGTTCGTTAAGAAACCGCAGTCTAAGCTGAAAGTCTTAGTTTGGGAAATATTAGTAACAAGTGTAAAAGCTGGGGAAAAAGTGAGCTCATTACAATAACAGCGTTTAGTTCAAAAAAGCCTCAGTCCCCATTTACCTCTTAAAAGTTCTAGGTTTGTTATCGGTCGGGAGGAAAATTGAAAATATAACCCCAGCGATTTAATATAGGAGAGCGCATTATGTATACACGTGATGATAAACAGAAACAAGGTTTATTAAAATCTTCCAAGTAAGACTCTTTGAACGATCAATATTCAACTGTCAGATGGTTCGAAGCTTTGCAAAAATGAATTTGAAACAGAGGTAAACTCAAAAAGCAGACTGCAAATTAAATAGCGAGTTATATAAATGAGCTTGGTTCCGGGCTTCTCTTCACTTGATACCAAACTAAAGGCGTTTTAGTTGGTTTCAAATACCTGTCTCAACATGCTGTGTCCTGTTTTGTTACTTGCTCTTACATCGCAAGCATTCGCCCGTTACGTCGATGACCAAGGTTTTGCTCTGGTATGTTGTTTTTAGGATTTCTTTCTGGTACTGCCTTCTTTAATAATTTTTCAGTTCATTGTCAGTTCATTTGGTTATGTATTACTCTCTTTTCAGGCTCATTTAGCTTTCTTATTGAAAAGGCAACCTCAACAGACTTCCTCTGAGCAGATTTGGTGCTCATGAAGCAGAAGATATTTTGATTGTTTTATGTGACTCATGGGAAAGGTTAAAAAAAGGGAAAAATAAAGATTGCAAACAAAGTTGTTGCTCTTTCATTTGATCCAGTCAATTGGAATACTTAGGTTTAGCTTGTGGTGCTTGAATAACAAAACTGGTGGATAGATCTAATGATAATGTGAGTTTACCAGCTTTATTTGTTATTTGACCAGTTCCTTGTGATATTTGCTCTTGAGTTGAGGTAGGCAACGAATCCCGTTTATTCCAATTCTGTACAGCTCCGAATGAGCTCTTAAAATCAATACATTCAATAATTTCGGGGCATTTAGTTCAAATTAAAGCAAAATAGCAGACAGTGAACAATATTTTTCCCGATCCTTGATGTGGATACAGTTCGTGCACTTTAGTTTACCCCTACATTATAATCAGCTCACCAGTTAGCTCATACATGTGAAGGTGTAGTCTGATCGTCCGGGTGAGTGTAGTCCTGAGAAGGACTGTTGTCGGTGGCAGTGACTGACGTTTCGACAACCGTGCGCGGAAGTCATCATCAGAGTCAAGTGAATGATTGTTGTCAGTAGACAAAGGTTCAAACCATTTACTGCATTAGCTCATACATGTTACCCACTTAACACCATGGTCAATAAAATAAGCATTTTTATATTTCTTTACAAAAGGGATGAAATTATAGCGAGTTAACGGTTATCCGGCTTGTTTCAATAATACGTGTTTAATCCTGAGACAGACAATTTCAGTAAAACCATAAACTGAGGTGTCCCTGATTTTGACTATTTCTAGTTCTGTCGCGGATGAGTTCAGCAAAAAAGATAAAGGGAAAGTACAGTTTTATGCATGGAACATTTCCACGACTCTTTGTTCTCTTTGTCTTTCTTGTTCAAGTTGATAAATGTAACTCGTATTCACACCTTGGAACATGGCTATTTCAACCTTTGTGCGGCGGAGCGTTAGTTCGCAGCACTCGCGGCTGGCGGATATAGCCGATAAACAAAGAACTCGTGCCGATAACCTAAAAGCAACTATTGCGAAACAAAAAGTCTGCCATAGAGGCATAAAACTCTCAACAAGATTAACATGACTTTTTAAGAATTATTGGATATAATTGAATTTCCGCGAGAAAAGTAAACAAAAAAATTTGGGGGTTTGGAATCCTTCTCAAGTCTTTGAACCATCACATTCTGAACTTGAACCTTTTTGCCAATACTATTTTATTACACGACTAATCAACCAATCAAAATGCTCTATTGCCGGTCAATATTCTCTCAGTATTGGACCGGGCACTGTCCCGAATGGTCCCGAATGATACCGCACTTGTGTCCCTTTGAACTTCAGTCGTGTAATAAATCTCTTATTAACCAAGCTTGCTCGGGACCGTACTGGAAGAATATCGGCCCTCGGTCTTTTTTGTACGGACCTCGCTGCGCTCGGTCCGTACTGTCAAGACCTCGGGCCGATATTCTCCCAGTACGGCCCTCGCGCTTGGTTAATAAGATATGTATTTCCATTCAAAATTTACACCCTTCAAAATGTAAACAGAGAATCGTCATTGAGGCTGCATTCACTCAAAAAAATTTTATTCCCAAAAAATCTATTCCCAAACCAAATCGTTTCTGACTTTGTTTGGTTTGTTTGAAGTGAACATGCTGTGTTCTTTGTTGTTAGTCGCTGTCTTTACCTCTCAGACTCTCAGGCTAGAACCGAACAGTCAAAGCACTCGCAAAAATATCATACAATTTCTTACTTCAAAAATCTTAAACGGTAAAATTGGGTTAGAAACTGTTAACTTAGGAACTGATAGATAAACTTACAATACCTTCTCTCTTTGAATTATTTACAGATTTGTTGTCAGAAAAAGAAACGCGTTCACCTAATACGTGACTAGGAATGACAGAATATTTACGAAATAAAGAGTGTAATACTTGCATATGGAAATCTAATTCGTTTAAATAACTGATGTAGCCATGGAAAAGTTCTACTCGAACCTAGTCACTATTTATGCATACGTTGAGAGGGAGTTGGATTCTATTACATTGAGACTCGCGGGTGTTCACGGGAATCGTCTCTAATCTCCTCTCCCTCAAAACATATTACTTGATAATTCAATGCGATTTTTCTAACCGCTTGCATGACAAAAGATCTCTGTGTCACACTTTACGCCAACTTTGCTTCCTCAAAATGCTATTCATCGAACGTTCGGCTGAACTTCAATGAGGTTGTATTTTTTCGATTTAGCTGGCTTCCATGCTAAAACAATTCAGACTACATGGATGAACTGCTGTTTAGGTACAGTTTTATTTTTCGCTTCCATCTTCACCTGTCACCTGCTACTTTATAATTTCATCTGAAAACCCCTCAACCAGGGACAGCGAGACATACCCCGTTGCTTTGCACCAAATTTTTTTTCTAAAATATTTACAAAGTTAATGTCTTCTACTTGTTTTTTTTTTTTTTTGATACGCAAAAGACAGCATAGCTTCCTCTCACTGTGTCTGGTGAGCTTGTTCAAGTGTAGACTTTTGCGCATTGTAGTGTAATCCGCCGGGTGAAGCCGGCAGAGCTGCTCTTACGTCTTTTATCCGCACCACTATATCGACACCAATGTACTGGAGACTAAGCCTGCTGAGCACAGTGGCCTACGGTGGAAGGCGAAAAATGATAACATAAAACTACAGCTAGATATCTAGCCTGCAAAGCAAGTGTCTTAGAAGGGCAAGCAAATGGTACGGTCGCGGTCGTTTTTTCAACCGACTACATTTTATTTTCAGTTAGAGTGGAGGTGGGGTGAGGGGGCGGGGAAAGGAGGAATTTGTGTTGCCCCACTTTCCCGCTCTCTATGCTTTTGACCGTCTCTCACCCCCTTAGTACATATTTTTTTCTTTCGCCTGTCTTCCACTGCCGTAAAAATCAAAGATGGCAAGGGTAATTTTCATCACGAAAATACTGAGCACTTGCTCGCCAAAACTGCGCCTGTTCTGTAGGCTATAAGACATCCTTTTGACAGAGCTCCTTAACTGCGGCTGTCCATCTTGGTTTAGTTTTATTGAGCCTTGCAATCATAGCTGTTTCAGAGAGAGTGAAAAATAAAAAAATAATAAAAAAAAAACTGGTAAACAACGCCTCACCTAAAAACAACGATACGTCATCAGAGTGATCAGCACTGCGCAGTCTCCCAGTGATCTCCTCATTACGGACGATGGGAAGGAAAAGCTGGACGAACTCGGGCGAGTATGGAGGAGCAATCATTTCTAGAACCTAGAGAAAGGGAATAAGAAAAAAATTTTCAATGAATTATGGGTTATCTTCTCCGTGATTCAAAAATTAACGCCGACGCAATTTAGTTGAGTATTCCTTTATTTACCTCCGTCACGAAATGTCTTATAAGAGAGTTATCTGTGTTCTGCTTTTCCAAACAGCTGTTAATGTAGCTTATCACGGGTATTACATATCCTCGGCTTAACAGATGAATCATTCGATCCAGGACTGTTTTCTTGAACTCAAGCTAAAACAACGAACAACAAAAGAAAAATGTAATTGCTCGAAAAATAAAATAAAATCATCATAATTACTTCTCCACTAGCAAGGGGCACCGGTGGAGCCTGGAGAAAAGTGTCCCATATTTTCAGTCCTGACTTGAAGAAGTACTAGTCGACTTCCTTTGGGCAAATATTTTCTAGAATAAAAAAACGTAGCTTTATCATGCTCCATTCTCCGATATGGCCTGCCCAAGATCTAATCTGCTTAGTGCAAATACAATACAATACAACGTTCTTTATTTCAAGAGGGTAAATATATGATTAACCCAGTAAAGAGTTTTCTAACACATGACCCTCTGTAAACCCACCCATCCCACCCAGGGGAGGACATCCATCACACAGTAATCTCGTGTGTGGGAAATTAACGTCTCCTACCCCAACCCTGCAGGAGACGGGACCTCCATTTATTCGTCCCTATACGAGAAGACTAGAATATCTAACCATTTCTTGATGTTGTAGAAAGGCAGCAAATTCTTCTCAATAATTTTAAGACCCTGAGTGTTGGTCCGGCCGGGGTTCGAACCCTCGACCTCCCGCACAACAGTCCAGCGCTCTATCCATTGAGCTAACCGGGAGGCGAAGCAAGTATTAAACACAATTTACCTTACTTGATCATATTTCATTGCCTAAATGAAGAACAAAAAACAGTCGTTTCTGCGCGCATGACATATGTAGAATTCTAAACAGCAACTAGTAAACAGCGCGTGCACTTTCTAAGAAGAGCGCGCGGGCATTTACCAACTGACGTCACAATAAAAAACCTTCAGTTTTGAAAGCCCATGGATCGGTCCAACGGAAGAAAAAACGTTTCAGATCTTGCAGTGACAATTACATTTTTAGCTCCTTTTCTCGTTTATGCTTTCATTGAATATCTCATTTGTTGTTTGTGGAATCTCTTCTTTCGTTCTTTACACGGGCTGTGCTGCTTGTTGCTTCACGGATTGCAAAAGAATCTGAAAGATGATGAATTGACTCGGCATGAATTGGCAGAATATCATTCCCCAGATAAAGCACCCTCGACGTGTCAGCTACATCAAGAAACAAACTATTCCTTTCAGCAAAACAAGCGGACAGGTGCGACAGATATTTGTGAACCGGCGGAGAGTACTGACTTCTCTAAGGATGGAGAGATTTATAGTTCCGCAGAAAGTACAAATTACTCTGCAGAGAAAAGATTTCATAAGTATGCAGAAAGTACGGAGCGTCCTGGTTACTTCAAGAAAACAAGTGAAAAGAAGGAAACAAGGTCAGTTAAAGGAAAAATCCAAGACAAACAGAGCTTCGAAAAGGTGAAAAAAGAACAAGAGATATCATTCAAACAAAGCTTTAGATTGGCGAGAAAACAGAGGATAACAAAGTACATCATCCACGACACAAAACCGGACGAAGGTATACTGCACGAAAGTTCTACTACAAGTTATCGTATTAATTGTCAGAACAACGAAACTGAATCAGACGTTCACGACAGCAAAGCAAGAATAGCAAAAGTCGATTCGAACGACCAAAGATTTCCTTGCACAAGAAAAGAAAACGAACAGGAATCCGGAAAACGAAAAATCTTTGACGACAATTTTCTTGATGAAAGCAAAACTGGGAGGAACCGTGAAGTGCTGTCTGAAAAAAGAAAAGAAAAAAAAGATGAAATTTGTAACAGGAGCAAGGGAAATGAAAAGGCATTAGAACAATTGAACAATCCAACACGTCGTGCATCAAAAAAACCTGAGGACAAGTCGCATTTGACTGCGGTGATCACAACGGCAGACAACGACACACAGGCGCCTCCGATAACATTGCAAGCTGTGAATCGATCCAACTTTAAAGGACTACTCGAGGAAGGGAAAGAAGACCACGAACTAGGAACGCAACAACAACTTGTGAAAACTTCATTAACAACAGATTCACCTCAAGGAGAAGAAAACCACACATGGGTAATAAACTCCTTTAAAAAAAAAGTAACCTCGGGAGTCAAAGAGGAAGAAAGAACACAGTTAGACGTGAAAGGATTTTGCTGTAACTTTGTAAACTACAAATCACTTCCCAATGATTCTGAAACAAGAAGAGTCTCATCGCTGGCACGAGTTGCTAACATGGCACAAAGTCTTAATGCTGCGACGTCGGACAGTGCAACTGCAGCAACAGCTTCAGAAGAAGGGATAACTCAGACAGAGTCTTCAACCTCCTCCCTCATCACTTTTCCCGCGGTCATTCAACACGAAAACGAAACACTGGCTCTTTCTTTAAATGTCGATCTGCCCTGCCCAAATGTAAACTTTGTGGATATAAACCCAATGAGGGAGACAGCAAAAAAGTGCCACGCATCATACTTGTTCGAAACTAAAAACAACGATCAGAACAGTGTGACAACTACAAATTTCCGCAGGCCAAAACTAAGAACAGAGCAAGTGAAACGTTCGAGGATTCCTTTCCCTCGAGTGTCTCTGGCTTTAAAATACAAAAAGACACCATGGTTGTGACCTCTGTAATGATGAAATTCGAATAAAAAGGATGCACAAAATATTGAACATAGCAAATTTGTATTGAAATCAACACACATAATTACCGATAGTTTTTAGAAACCTTTAATAAGATCACAGTTTACATTGGGCGACTGTGAAGTAGCAATACACATTCGTGTGCTAGGGGGAGTTTAAGCCTTATGGCTGTTGTACTAGAATGTGGTACTAAAGGTCTGTGTTTGAGTCCAAACCGGGTTATTCTGTTCTTGGGTTAACACATTTCTCTCAGTGTCTCTCTCTACCCAGAACTATAAATGAGTGCCAGTGTCACAGCAGATTTGGACCCCCCCGGGAATTTGGACCCCATGTCCCATCCTCCCCCCCGTGCAAAATTCACCCGCGGATACGAGCCTTCTTCACTGCGTCGATTCAAAACTTATCATTATTACTGTCGCAGTATGGCAATTTGATTTTACTTTTTTACCGTACCAAAACCCAGGAGGTCCCAGGGGTCCAAATCCGCTATGACACCGGTGAACTATCAAAGAAACCTTACGAAATGTTTCAAAGGGGGGAGGGGAGGGGCGTGAAGGGAACTACAGCTATCAGGATAAGCTCTGGAAGTGCGGTCTACATGGTACGTGTGCAGACTTACCAGTACCGTCATGTAATAGCACTAAATTTACCAAGCAAACTTGGAGTGAATAATACCCACCTCTACTAAAGTGTCCAGAGGCGTCGGAGACTCGAATAAACGGACCAATACATTGAGGACCAAGCGATGCTGAAGAGCATGACATGAGCTGATCTACGAGACGTGAAAAGACAATAAAATTAGGGAGGAAAGTGAATAGAGGGCTGGGGAAGAATCACGTGGTAATGGAAAGGATTTCAGTTGGTTAAGCAGCTACCTGACTATCTATCTCATACCTCATCCAATAAAGCCAAGTGGACTGGTGTCGAGTCTGTAAGCAGCTTGAAGAATGATGGATCACATACCGTACAATCAACCCACTTTAACAAGCCCATAGCAACTACAGGAAACCTACAGAAGCAAGAAAACGCTGCATGGCGATTATTTGTTTTCAGTTTGAAACTTTCTCTCAGAAATTTTGGTTTACTTTGGCTTCTTACATACCTTATACACTGGAACAAGACACTCACTTCTGCGAGCAGCTGTGAGCCTTTCTTAGTCTCCTGTACGCACAGTAAGTGAATTTTATCCAGGGCTTGGGAAGTTGTTTTCAGTTCATCCCTATTAAGCATTGTACGTTCATTCTACAAATCAGAAAAAAGAAAAATAAATCAGCAAAATGAATCAAATTATTGTTATATGATGATGTAGCTGTAACCTTGATGGACTGATATGACTTACAAGGTTAGTGGCCAAACTCATTCCCCTTTCAGGATAAAGAACCAGGTTTGCAAGAAATAACACTGACTCTGCCTAGTAAATTGCTTCTTCCTTTTTTCTTTCAACAAATGAAACCAAAAGCAATTACAAGGGTCAACTAGGATAGGTGTGAATATCACAAAGAGTTGATGAGAATTCAAAGTGTGACCAAGTAATCTATTTGAAAGTGTAATGAAAGAAAATTCCAGTTACCAAATTATGTTTGGTCTAAAAGAGCATCAGGAGGGGGCTTGCGTTTAGCATAGTAAAACTAAACAATTTTATTTTGAATTACTTTCCACACTAACCTTTTAAAATTACCTAAAAAATAATCAAATATGGAAATACCTCAACCCAGGTTTCATGTACAGCTGCAGCATAAGCCAACAGGTAAACATATTTAAACTTGTGTTCTGGATTCAAGTGTTGTCCAGGTTTGAACAACGCTTCCAAAAGAAGTTCTAGACAAAAATACTATTGTAATTATTCAAATTCATACCATACAGTTGCACGGTAAGGGTTGGTTGTGTGATAGCTTGAATTTCACTATCATTGGTGACAACATGGTGGGAAATCGTCATCATCAAAGTCAAGGGAAGCATTATTTGTCAATCAAAAGTCCTTAGTTGTGAAAATTGATTTTTCAGGTTGGCTATGATGTTCAGTTGAAGCAGTAGACAATCGGTGCCCACAATCAGACCTTCAATGGTCAAACAACTCCTCTCTTGTGTGTGTCTATAAGATCTCCTCTCAATCATTGTCACTAATAGCAGCCCCTGACGGCACCACCTTCACTTGTATGATTACAGTAGCTAATGTTTCCTCCCACTTTACACCCTCCAACACTATACCAAATGCACACTGATAGAAATTCCAGCCTTAAAATAAATTTCTAATTTGTGGCATATTTTCTGGACATGACCAATTACCCAAGAGTGTTGCTGGAATGCAAAGAACTGGTGGCCTCATTCATCCTTCAACAAACTGATTAAACAAACCGCAACTAGCTGGTTTATCCTCACCATTGAAAAGATCTAATAAGCTGATTGGAATTGCAGATTTAACCCTATAACTCCTGTCAGTGACCAGGACAGAATTCTTCTTATAATACCAATACAATCTCAAGGGGACAAGTGGTAAGAATAAAGGAAAATTTAAATTACAGGATTGGAAGTTGTTCCAATACCAAATTCTCCAAACTAATATCATAAGAATTGTATGGCAGAGAGTAAGGAGAATGATTTATGAGACTTTTCCTCACCTAAAAACTGTGGAATCCTGATCAGTGCACAAGGAGGAGCTTGAGCACTATTATATAACTTGTACAACTGTGTTGAGGCAGAAAGAGATGAAGCGAAGTGCATCAATTATATAATAAGTAAGTGACTGAATAAAGAGATAAATGTATAGACAACTTAACTCTTAACATGGCCTCATGTTGAATCATTACATTCAAATCACCAAAAATAACAGGGGATTGTACATGATTGAAATATAACAAGCAACCCTAGGCTAGTAATAACAATGATATCATTTATGAAAATACCAATAACAACATTAAAAAGAAATGAAATCTTTGGATAGAGTTCAAATGATAAAAGTTTTTTATTAAAAAGTAACTGGGCCTTTATGATAAAACAGACACTTGAACATTTGTTTGTATCATAGATATTATCAATTGCCCTCTAAAAATTTCTCATGCACTCTGTTATTTTTCTCTGTCAGCTTACCACTGTGACATCTCCAGGATTAAGGGAATTTTTTCCTAACATGGATGAGAGGGCTGAATTTGCTCTGGGAAAAGCTGCAGCACCATTCAATGACAGAGTGATCTCTGTCACTTCATGTCCACTGTAAAAAGATAAAAAATGCTTTCAATACAGCACCATAAACAGGACTGAAATAATTCAAAATGAAAACTCTAAGTTGAAAATTAAAAAAGAGGAAGGTAGGTAGGTAAGTCTGTACTGCATTTAGCTGGCACATGTAGCCTAAGTCATCCCAGTTTCCTTATATATGAGGCAGCTAGGAGTGTTACTACTCTCCCCTGGACGAGATGTCAGTCCCTCACAAGGTTACCCCCCCAGCATTTCATAAGGCCTCACTCATGATTGCCGATATCCTTTTATACTCCTGGGTTGAGAGAGGCATAGGGATAGTTAAGTGTTTAGCTAAATGACACAACACTACCTCTTGACCAGCAGCTGGAGTACTGCACACTAATCAGTGGGCCAACACATCTCCCACAAAAAAAAGAGTGGTACCAGTAAACAGACAATTAAAAAAATTACAGCCTGTTCCAGGTTCTCAATTAATGAAGGCAAGACAAAAAGGATTAAATATGTTTTAAGCCACTCAGCCCATATTGATCACACAGACTAAGCCTTGGGATTAAAAAAAAATGTGTAACACTGAGCCTGAATGATTAACATCACCTTTGAACTGCCCGTTTTTGAAGCTCTTGACCGAGTCTTTGAAGTTTTGTTCCTCCTTCTGTGTTTTGTGCAATGTGATTTAGCAAGCATTGTGCATACAGGTAGGTGTGCTGTCCATAACATACCATCCTCTGGAAGGTAATCCATACAAAACTTATGACTACAGAGCTATGCCTATTCCCTGAGGTTTATAATTTCTTGAGATACCATATTTCAACATACAGAAAATTCTGGCAGGTTGCTTTCCATAGTCATATCTCCTTCCTCAAGAAAAGAACAAGCTGAAGTCTTGAGCACTCGGGAAAACACCTCAATTTGATGGCAGGCTGTAGAGACACTTCTAATCTCACCCTGATATCCTGCATCAGAAATCAGCTGCAAAAAGATATGATATTTGCAATGAGCAAATTTCCAACAGGATTTAGGATCACACAACATAGTCTCTTTAATTCCTCATCTATTTCCTGGACCCAATCAGTTCCTTACTGAACACAAAAGGGTGAAGACTCCAACTAGGAAGTAAGTACTTATCTAAAAACATCTCAGTTCCCTGAAGATTCCATTGAAAGTAAATATGACTGTCTTGTGTCCAACATTATTATTGTTCATAACAAGAATATCCTACATTAGAGTGATACACATTTCTACTCAAATAAACCCTCTGCACACAAGAAAGCTTGAATTTAAGATTATCATTTTCATGATTATATTCTCTCTACAATGCTGACTTTTACTGTCTGGAGTACAAATATTGCGTGATATTTGTACTTGATTCAAGCCTTATTTATACTCTACATTGAGTAGTTGGATAATAAGTTCATTTCCCCACCAAAGAAGTTCATGTGAATTCAGTGGAGCTGTCTATCCAATTCAACCTTGAGTGCGAAAAGGATAGACACTTATCCTTTCTTGATTTTAAATGTGTGCAAAGCAGATAAGTGTTTATCGTAAACTGACCCACACTGACAAATCTCTCGCTTTTGACTCTCACCACCCTATTTGCCATAAAAAGTCCTTTGCTGAAACTTTACTGAAGAGGGCTGACCATCTACCATCTTCACTTGATTCCAAGTTTGAGAAGAGAAAATATGTTTCTGACACCCTAAAGGCAAATGGGTATATCTTTTCCCTTACTGCATTTCTACTAAAGGGGCCAATTTATATGTTACATCAACTGAGTTTGATGAAAATGAAAGAGTGATTAAACCTTGATAGTAAAATTGAGCATCAAGCAATCAGGATAATGCTCTGCAAGTTTATAAAACATTGAACGCCATGTCTGGTGGACAATCATGTCTTCTAGCCAGGATGGTGTCTGCCAACAGAACAAAGATAAATTTAATTCAACCAAAACATCTCAATCAAATAAATTCATGAATTTGAATATCAGATTTTGCAATGGACATCCACAGGGTGACTTCCAAAACCCAAATTCCATTCTAACCACGATGTAACACATAATTTCTCATTGATTCAGAGTATACAACCTTAGCATGTCCAAGACGCAAGTGTAACGGACTTCAATCTTTTGATTTTCTTTAACAAACAGCATCAAAATGGTATTCCTCAACTGGTTTTCTCTTTCCTCTCCCTCAGCAGAAAAGATAGAGTCTGCTTTTTTTGGGTCAAAGTGTTTGATAATCAGGGTTTCCTTACCTCCCCCTCAGCAGAAAAGATAATAATAATAATAATAATAATAATAATAATAAAAGTCTTTATTAAGCATTCTAAACAACAAACGTGTTTAGTTACAGATATGAACTCAGCAA